CAGGGTGCGGCGGATGGGGAAGCGGCCCTTCATGGGCATGGCGGCGACGGTGGCGGGGCCGACCCCACTGCGCGCGCCGAACAGCGACCAGTCTAGCTAGCACCCGGCGCGGATCTCACGCCGCTTCTCCCCAGAGCCAGGTTCCACTTCCCGCGCAGACGCACAGGAGACGCTTCCCGGAGGGCAGCGCACGCCGCGGAGCACCCTGGGACTCGTAGGCGGCCTTCGACCCCGCGGGGCGACAGCCGGCGTGTGCATCTTCGCTTTAGGACTCCTTCCGCTTGGAAGATTTAGGTTTTCGCGTCCTGTAAGTTAGTAATTTCCCCATCCACTCAAGGGAAAATATTTTTACATAGGCTAAATGTCAGACATTGCAATAAGAAATAATCAGGAAAACTGAGTTTGGATATCAAATCAGCTGATAACATTCTATTGAACCTAAAGTCCATTTTTCTCCCTGAACATCTCCAGCTTTAACATGAAGAGTTCAAACTGCACTTTCTGACATTGACTTAAACTTCTTAGCAAAAGAAAAAAAAAATGGTTTGAGATCAATTGCTTCAGCCACTTAACAACTCAGGACCTGAATTTTCTCATAAACAAACTACGGGTGACATGCATTTCCAGGGCCAGGCGCGGTGGCTCCTGCCTGTAAACCCAGCCTTTGGGGAGGCCGAGGCGGGAGGAGTGCTTGAGGTCAGGAATTCTAGACTAGCCTGCCCAATACGGCGAAACCCCATGTCTACCGAAAATACAAAAAATAGCTGGGTGTGGTGGCAGCGCCTGTGGTCCCAGCTACTCAGAAGGCTGAGGTGGGAGGATCGCTTGAACCCGGGAAGCGGGGATTGCAGTGAACCAAGATCGCGCCACTGCACTCTAGCCTGGGTGACAGAGCAAGACTCTGTCTCAAAAAAAAAAAAAAAAAAAAAAAGGTGCATTTCTGAAGTACTCTTGATCTGAAAGTTATTTCTCCTCTTTTGAAGAGTAATTTTGCCAGATTTAGAATTCTAGGTTAGTGTTTTTCCTTTCCCTCCCTCCCTTCCTTCCTGGCTGGAGTGCAATGGTGCTATCTTGGTTCACCGCAACCTCCGCCTCCCAGGTTCAAGCGATTCTCCTGCCTCAGCCTCTTGAGTAGCTGGAATTACAGGCATGCGCCACTACACCCAGCTAATTTTATATTTTCAGTAGAGACGGGGTTTCTCCATGTTGGTCAGGCTGGTCTCGAACTCCTGACCTCAGATGATTCGCCCATCTCAGCTTCCCAAAGTGCTGGGATTACTGGCGTGAGCCACCGTACCCAATCCTGGTGTTTTTCTTTCAACAATTTAAATACTTCACTCCACTCTTTTTTTGCTTGCATAGTTACAAACAAGTAATTAGCTGTAATTATGTTTATTGGTATGATGGCTTTTTCCTTTAGCTTCTTCTTTCACAATTTTCTCTTGGTGTTTGGTTTACCGGGTTAGAATAAGGTAATGAAGAGCTGTAGATGTTTTGTATTTGTCCTGCTTGGAGTTCTCTGAGCTTCCTGGATCTGTGATTTCGTGTCTGTCATTAATTTTGTAAAGTTCTTAGCCATTTATTGCTTCAGGTATTTTTTCTTCACTCTTTTCTCTTTCTAGTATTCAGCTTAAATGCATTTTATGTCTTCTGAAATTGCCTCATAGTTCTTGAATGTTCTGGCAGGGGGATGAGGGTTCTCTTTGCAGTTTACTGGGGAAGTTTCTGTTGACCTATCTTCAAATTCATTGAATCTTTGGCTGTGGACAGCCTACTGATAAGCCCATTAAGGCATTTTTCATTTAAGGTTTTAACTTCTAGCACTTCCTTTTGATTCTTAGGGTGTTTGTTTGTTTGTTTGTTTGGAGACAAAGTCTCGCTCTGTTGCCCAGGCTGGAGTGCAATGGCGCAATCTCTGCTCACTGCAACCTCCACCTCCTGGGCTCAAGCAATTCTCCTACCTCTGCCTCTTAGCTGGGATTCTAGGTGCGTGCCACCATGCCTGGCTTTTTTTTTTTTTTTTTTTTTTTTTTTTTTTTTTTTTTTTTTTTTTGTTGTTGAGACGAAGTTCCCGCTGTCACCCAGGGTGGAGTGCAATGGCTCCATCTTGGCTCACTGCAACCTCTGCCCCCCCCCCGCTCAAGTGATTCTCCTACCTCAGCCTCCTGAGTAACTGAGATTACAGCTGCCCACCAACACACCCAGCTAATTTTTGTATTTCTAGTAGAGATGGGGTTTTACCATGTTGGCCAGGCTGGTCTTGAACTCCTGACCTCAGGTGATCCACCCGCCTTGGCCTCCCAAAGTGCTCTGATTACAGGCGTGAGCCACTGTGCCCAAATTTTTGTATTTTTAGTAGAGACAGGGTTTCACCATGTTAGCCTGGCTGGTCTCAAACTCCTGACCTCAAGTGATCTGCCTGCCTCAGTCTCCCAAAGTGCTGGGATTATAGGTGTGAACCACTGCATCCGGCATGATTCTTAGTTTTCTTATCTCTGTTTACATTACCCATCTGTTCTTGTATGTTGTTTACTTTTACCATTAGACCCCTTAACAGACCACATTTTAAATTTCTTGTCTGATAATTCCAACATGTGAGTGTGGTTCTGATGTTTGCTTTGTTTCATCTGATTATTGGGTTTATTTTTTTCCTTGCCTTTTAGCATGCTTATAATTTTTTTTGTTGAAAGTAGAATATCCATTCTATTGGGCCATAAGAACTGGAGTAAATAAGCCTCTAGAATGAGAACTTATGTTAATCAGACTCAGAGTTGAGAGCTGTGTTTAATGTTTGCCATAGCTGTAGGTGTCAGAAGCTTCCAGTTCCTCTAGTGTCTTTGTGTTTATCTCCTCTTGCCTTTGGGCTTCCCTGGATATTCCTCCTGAGAGAGTCCATGTCTTGCAGCTCTTCCAGCTGTAACTCACTGTTACTATCCTGGAGTCCTGTTGGAAAAACATGGGGAAAAACATATGGTGGAAAAACATGGGGGAGGTGAAGCATTGTATAATCTTATGATTAAATCTCAGCATTTTAGTGGGCTTGTGTCCTTGGGCTGTGACCTATACAAGGTTTTTTCTTTTCTTTTTTTTTTTTTTTTTTTTTGAGGCAGTGTCTTGTTCTATCACCCAGGCTGGAGTGCAGTACAGTGGTGCAATCACAGCTCACTGCAGCCTCTACTTCCCAGGCTCAAGCAATTCTCCCACCTCAGTCCCGAGTAGCTTGGACTATGGCACGTGCCACAATGCCTGGTTAATTTTTGTATTTTTTGTAAAGATGAAGTTTCGCTATATTGCCCAGACTGGTCTTCAACTCCTGGGCTCAAGCAATCTGCCTACCTCGGCCTCCCAAAGTGCTGGAATTACAGGTGTCAGCCACCGCACTGGCCCACAAGTGTTTCTTAATTCCCCTTTGTACCCCCTTACATGACCCAGGAAGGCTAGAGGGGGCTGGAATGGGAGAAATACCCTCCTCCAGATGGGATAAGGCTCTGTGAAAAAGTGCTTTCCTCTGGGGAATAAGCTTTGTTATGGAGAAGGCTCTGGTTACAAAGATGATTCTCCCTTTCCCACCAGAGCCACCAGAGAGTCTTTCTCAGTTCTTCACCAAGAGAACCAAGTCGAGTAAAACCCAGGCAAGCGTTGGGGGTGAGGGAGAGTTGCTCACTCCCATGCTAGTCCACACTCAACCTCCAGCAGTTCATCAAAATTACCATTTAAGTTTTCCTACTAGCTATGGCTCCCATGGCTTCTGCTCCAATCAGATCTTGCTGACTCTCTGGACTCACCTCTCTCCAGATTTTGGGATGGCAGTTTGACTTGCACACTCAGCTCTCTAATGGGACCAAGAAAGACCATTGATTTGGTTTGCCCAGCTTTTTCTTGTGGTAAGGATAGGATAACTTTCAAACTCTATGTATCTGAGCCAAAACCAGAAGTGCTTTCTGAAGTATTTTTACAACTACACTAGGCTTCCTGAAGAGTTACGCACAAGTTTTTCATCTTAAAAGTCCACTGGAGGCAGTTACTAGGGATGAAACACCCCATTCCACGTTAGAAACATGGGTGTCCACATACAACACAATCTAGGGCCGCTTGGGTTTTGCAGTCAGACAGACCTAGGCTGGAAACCCAGCAGTGCAACCCTAAGCAAGCTTAACTTCACCACTCACTTATTTCCGATCTGTAAATGGGTTGTTGGGAAGACTAAGGTAAGCCATGCATAATACTTAGCACTCAGTCTAGCCTATAGTGAGCACTACATATTATACTCTCCTGGTTTAAGAATCTACATAGGCCCTAAGGAGATGTGTTTCACAGACTCAGATAAAGTCACTATCAGAAATCAGCTCAGCAGCACCCAACCTCATTCCCCATTGCCCTTTTCTGCCCTCTTTGAGCTTGACACAATGGTTGAGCACCCACCACCACCAAACCACCACCTGACCCAGCTACTTGTTACTGAGGGCAAAGTAAGCCAGGCAGATGTGGATTTAAACCCTCATTCCACCACTGACTGGCTGTGTGGCCTAAGCCAGGCTAAACTCTCTTAACTTTTCTGCATCTGGGGTCAGATGAACAGCTGAGTAACTAACTACCTCACAGGCATGCTGGTAGAGCCGATGGAGGGAAATGTGGTCATGCAGGGGTGGTGACTGGCACAGATGGCAGTCACAAGGTTCCTCAATCTCTGAGCCTCAGTTTCTTCCAGTGTGAAACAGGGATGATAGGATCATTAAGGGATCTGCACTATACTGTGTAAAACTGTTCATTTAACCAGCACTGCAGGAATAACTGGGAATAAGGGCAGAACTGGAACCCGTATCTATCCCCTGTTCAGAGCCCAGTGACCTTCATTTTTTCCAGAGGCCTTAACCAGACAAACACCACAGGTGCTGGAACTATTCTGATACTCAGAAGGTTGTCATCAAGAAAGGAGAAGAGATGTCATCTGATGATTCTCACTTGTAACACACGTGCACACAGACACACACACCCCCAACCTCTATCTCAGATTTTATTTTTTTAAAAAAAGGCTCCAATACAAGGCCCCAGAATAGTGCATGCAAATCAACGACCCTCAAAGTGACAGTCATTGTCAGATAACAAGCACAATCTGCTACAGTCTGTGACCTGGTAAAGAGACCACCTTTTCATTTTGAGTCCCATCACCAACTACGACAATGTCCAACCTACTGCACAGCTCACAATGACTCAGAGATACATTTTAGTATCTGAACAGCAAAGACATATTGAGCTGCAAGTACAATGAGTAAGTATCCTTAGTGTATTAGACAGGGGGAAATACAAACAAGGCATAGAAGGGAAAAGCCAACTTCATCTGATACCTGAATCCCTAAGTCTCTTCCGTCTTTTCTCATGGTCTGTGTTTAGGGAGATCTGCTATGCCGTATCAAGACCTTGCTCATTTGGTGATGAGATGGGGCTATTTGCCTTGGAAGACTAAAGGAAGGGTGAATATTCACATGAGGTAAGAACTTGAAGTTGTGGTTATAATACATAGGCCAAGTTTTCCCTGCTGTCAACCCATCTCTGTAACTCCAACTTTGTGCCTGCATGAATTCTGCGACATGGTACAACTGATGGGTAGAGAATTCTAACTCCTGTGATGTATATATTTACAGGAGAAGATAATCATGGAAGAATTAAATGGAAGAATTCATAGAAGAATACAGCCATGGATAAACTTAATCAAAATAATATGATTTTAGTTTGGTTTAGTATATTCAATGAGTCAGTTTTGTTTGTTTTTCGTGAGACAGAGTCTTGCTCTTCTCACCCAGGCTGGAGTGCAGTGGTGCAATCTTGGCTCACTGCAACCTCTGCCTCCTAGGTTCAAGCGATTCTTGTGCCTCAGCCTCCCTGAGTAGCTGGGATTACAGGCGTCTGCCACCACGCCCAGCTAATTTTTGTATTTTTAGTAGAGACGAGGTTTCACCATGTTGGCCATGCTGGTCTCAAATTCCTGACCTCAGGTGATCCACCCGCCTCGGCTTCCCAAAGTGCTGGGATTACAGGCATGAGCCACTGCGCCCAGCCGGGCCTTTAAAAATAGGTTTAAAAAATGTTTCTTGTGTGTTTCTCAATGCTTTTAGTTACTTACAGATTGTTACCTGAGGTGATTTGAGGGAAGGGGTATGTTTAGTGAATTAGTGTTAATCAGAATCACTAGCTAATTAAAAGAGAAATGTTCTCACAAGAAAAATAATTATGATGGAAAGCAGCAATTAGCTTCTGAAACTACCTGCTTTTCAGTTCATCCTCTTTTCAGAGAAATGAGAGCCTAAGCAGGGAGGAGCCTACTGGCCATCTGGGAAACCCTCTGGAGTATCAGAGAAATGTCATGGGCCTCAGGGAAGAAAAGAGGCCTGTACCAGGCAACATCTTAGATGCCTGGTTGCCAACTTCTCAAAACAACCCATAACCACCAGCAGGGCTGGTAACTGGCTGACATTCATTAACCCACTCATATGGCTGTTTGTGAACAGATCCCAAATGCAAAGGGTCCCCACACCCCGTCTCCACACCCTATACAAGACCTTTTCATTCAACCAAAAGGATAAGAAATGTGATACAGAAATGTGAACATCAACACAAATACAGATTATTTTTTCATCAAGAGAGTTCAAACATTCCCATTATCAAGAGGGATCTTCACCAGACTGTAACAAAATTAATTTCAGCTCTCACACCAGTAACCAGTGAAAGTATGGCCTAGAGCTAGTTACAGGGCATAAAGTGACCAGTGGTCAGTTATTGTTCATTAGTTAAGATGAGTAACTGCAGAAACTCTACCCGGAGCTGAGCACATGTGGCTATCATGATGTCAGATGTCAGTTAAGGGTTATGTTCCTGTAAACGAAAGCACCAGAGCTAAATTAACAATTTCCCTTTCTGGTCTTCATTGACTAATAGTTAAGTACTGTGGGTGCTACCAGCATGATCCTGGGTTGTGCTTCTTCAAACATTTCAGTTTCTTAATACTAACATTGGTAATAAAACATCTCATCAGGGCGGGCACAGTGGCTCACGCCTGTATTCCCAGCACTTTGGGAGGCCAAGGTGGCAGATCACTTGAGGCCAGGAGTTCAAAACCAGCCTGGTCAAAACGGTGAAACCCCATCTCTACTAAAAATACAGAGAGTAGCCAGGCATGGTGGTCCACACCTGTAATCCCAGCTATTCAGGTGGCTGAGACACAAGAATCACTTGAACTAGGGAGGTAGAGGTTGCAGTGAGCTGAGATCATGCCACTGCACTCCAGCCTGGGCAACAAAGTGAGACTCTGTCTCAAAAAAAAAAAAAAAAAAAAAATCTCATCAGTGCCCCAGGTCAGAACACAATGAACCAAAAGGGAAGAAGGCTGATCAAATAGCCTTGGAAATTACTTTAATTTAGCTTCTGACTCTGGGAAGCTTCCCTTCTTCTGGTGATGTTTTGCAAAAGCTTCCAGATCACCGATTCCTAAATTAGAGACCAGGCCTTTTAAATAGACCCAGATCAGAGTAACTTTGCCAAAGCTCTGGAGGGAGATTTCTCCAGTGACAGACAATTGTTCCATCAGAACAAGGGTGGGGAAACTCTTCTCACAAGTAATACTAGTATCAACCAAAAAGTTAACCACTCTTATTTTCTAAAAAGCTCAGGACCAGATTCACATTGATACCCTGCACTGGCAGCTTAACTTCCTGAAAGCGACAAAAAACAACTTAAACTGAGAAAATAGACCCTGGTGAAATGTTCCCATCACCCCAACTTAAAAAGAGGTGCTGGGCTCTCCTGGGTCTAAACTCTCCCCTTCATAGCAGCACTTCCCCCTGCTATTGTACAGACAGGAAGCGCAGAGCAAGGGAGAGGCAGCCCCAGGTGAAATGGAACTCACAGCCTACTAGGGATGGACTTCTGTCAGAGCAGAATATAGCTCAGTGGAATCTATCTTCTCTGTCTTGGCTAAAGAAGGGCTCTATAAAGGCTGCCCTATAATACTGCAAAAGGAACCAAGACTAGGCAGTAGCAAATGGACCCAAGAGGTACACAGCAGCCATTTCTGCCCTGGGCCCAACAGAGCTGCATTTAGTTATATCTCGGTAGTAAAAATGTAAAGTCCCTTCAAAAGGGGTAAACCTCCAATTAGAAAAGATAGTAATAATAAACAGGAAAAACAGCAAATAAATGCTGATTCTCCCTGTTCTAGTTTCTATTCTATTATTCAACTGTAGTGGAAACACCTCAAAGTGCACAACACAAAACAGCAGATTCCTGCCCCTCACCTGTGTGCATCTGACTTCTCACCCTGCCACCTTCCCCATCCACCCTGCCTGCCCTCTGTCCTGCTCCACTGGCTCCTGCCAGACCCCTGGGCCCAAAGGTGCCCTTTCCACTGCCGGTCAGTCAGTGCCCCCCTTCTGCTTGGCCAGGGTGTGCTTCAGCTCCCGCAGGTTCTCTGTCAGCACCTCTACCTCATCTAGGCGGCCACACTGCTTGGCATCAAAGATATATGCCTTGATGTTATCGATCTGCTGCAGGAGGAGCTCTTCCTCTATGGGCTCCTCAGCCTCTGGTCCACTGTCACTGTCCATCTCAAAGGGGTTGGTACAGGTGGGTTCCTCAAAGGGGTTGCCAGGAACCAGAGGGCTTGAGGGCCTCTGCTGGGGATGTTCATCTTCCTCGTTGAAGGGGTTAGGAGCTGGGCTGTCTGGCTGAATGAATGGATTCCCTGCCACTGCTTCCTCCTCCTCATCCTCTTCCTCGAAAGGATTGTACTCTTTCGGCACGCGGGCTGAAGGGTCGAAGGAAACCCCTGCAGCAGGAGGACTAGTAGTGCCCTCTTCCATGGGGCTGGAGAGGTCTTCCTCATCAAAGGGGTTTAAGGAGGGCCCCTCATGTTGCTGTGGCATGCTGCTCTGGGTTAAGAGCTCCTGGCCAAGGGCTGGGGGCCCAGACCACACTCTGGTGGGCTGTTGAGTTGAGCTAGGTGAAGGGGTCTTGGGAGCTGTGCTGCTTGGAACTGGGGAAGAGCCTAGATCCAAAGCATAAGCAAGGTGGGTGCGAGGCTCTCTGCTGGGCTCCAGCTGAAAAGGGCCGATTTCTCGGAAGTCCAGGGACCGAGTCCGTGTGTGCAGGGATGCCACCCGAAACTGTTCCCTTTCTCGTTCCAACTCCCGTTCACGCAGCATCTGCAGCTGTTCCCGCTGCAGGTCCTCCTCCTCAGCCTGCCTCCGGGACAGCTCGATGGCCTTCTCTGTCTGCTGCTGGTCATACTCGTCCTGCAGCTGCCGCAGGTTCTCCTGCAGGGTGCGCACTTCATCCATGCGGCCCGCGGCCTTGGCCTGCCTGATGAATGATGTGATGTTGTGGATCTGCTGGAGGAGCGGGTCTGAGTCCTCACTCTGCCCCTGACCTCCTGACAGTGGGAGCCAGCCCTCAGCCTTTCTCAAGGGGGCAGAGCCCCTGCGGAGAGATGCCACCTCCCCGTTGGCTGCTCGAGAAGCCAGGCCACTCTGCCTTTCCTCAAGCCTTCGCTGAGACTCCAGGGCAGCCTGGGGAGAGAGCAAAGCAGAGAGAAGAAATAGTCACCATGCTGGCAGCAGCCCACACTGTCACCCACCCTCTGTTGTCCCTCTATCCCTATGCCAGTGACACTCCAATTTCTCACCTCAGGACAAAGATATCCAACTGCTAAAATCAAGTCATATTTTTGTGTATATGTGGGCAGAAGGGAGACCCTGATTTTCAAAAATAAAAATAAAATATAATGAATAAGTTAGGGCATCAGATTTTCTCAATCTTAGATTCACAGGCCATATACTCTTCTTAAACCTCTGAGGTCTGTTCCCCTCATCTACACTGGAATCTCACACAGCGTTAAATACACATATAATTTTCTGTTTAATATTGCATATACCAATATGTTCTACAAGGAACTTCCTAATGTCTTGGTCCTCTGCAACTTCTGCCATAGGGAGAACTATCAATCTCTGTGATATTCTAGCCATGAGAGAATCAGCAGAAGCTCTGAAAGAAAAATAGGACCTCGGGAGAAAAACAATTATTCTAGTTCCCATAGATAAAAGTGAGGCTGAAACACAAGAGAAGAAATATGCACATTTGAGAGAGAGGTTCTGATTCACTACAACCCCACACAACCTGGGAGCTCACGGCAGCCTCTGTGCTTGAGAGCCGCAGGAGGAAGCAGGCCCCATATCCCTGGCTTCACTCACTTGTCTCTCCATGGCCCTCTTCCTCTCCATTTCCTCCTTCCTTTTCTTTTTCAGTTCCTCAAACTGTTCTTTGGTTGGCAGTGACATCAAACCAAGCAACTTTTCCTGCAGGGAGTGACAGACAATTTTACACTTAAACCCTTTTAGAGAAAAAATGACCCTTAAGCCCCATGATGAGAGTTTGCTTAAGCTGAGCCACTCTATTCTCCGAGAGTGACATCATTTGACAGCAGCCGGAAAGGAGCACACTCTTATATTGGGTGAAAGAGTTAACTCCAAATGGGCCTGCATTTTCCTCATGAAATGATCAACATCAGATATCCCAGTTATTCACCTGGCTCCAATGTTAGCTTCTCTATGAGGTCTTGTCCCTGCCCATCCTATTAGCAAACCTCAATCCCAGTCCTCTCTCCCACACTTCCTTGCTATAAATTTCTCCACAGCACTTTTGCTATCTTATATACTAGATATTTTAGTTGTTTGTGATCTCTCCCCTTCTTTAGAACACAAGCTTAATGAGAACAGGAACGTTGGTCTTTTTTGTTCACTATAGGACATCCAGCACCTAAAACACTACCTGGTATATAGGAGGCGCTCAACAAATGATTGCTGAATAGAATCACTAATCAAAGTGAGGAAGGACCTACTTCTCTGTACTACAGTGTCAGAAAACTAACCCAGCAGGACTCCATCTATTAGATCTCTTTGTTGGCTGGGGGCAGTGTGGCTCACGCCTATAAATCCCAGCACTTTGGAGGCCGAGGTGGGCAGACTGCTTGAGCTCAAAAGTTTGAGACCAGCCTGGGCAACATGGTAAGACCCTGTCCCCACTTAATAAAAGAAAAAAAAAGAAAAAAACACTTTGTTTTAATTAAAAAAAAAAAAAAGAAAAAAAAAAGATCTCTTTGTCAGGGAGCCCCAAGGGTGGTTAACTGTGACTCTCTCAGAAGGGGCCTTCACGGGTAGAAAGACACAATTCAGACCTAACCACTTAGGTTAGTCTGCCCTTAATCGGCTGTTTCCTCCCAGCTGATGGCTCAGGAAGAGTCTCTTAGGAGATTATCCTAAGGAAGAAATACTAAGTACCAGTATTACTATCATGGCAACAATTAACAGCAGCAAAAAATTAGTCTATCAAATGCTCAACTAAAGGAAAACGGTTAAAGAATGGCATATACAGTCAATATGCACTATTGTAAATACTGTATATAAAAAATACAAATGGGAAAAAAGAAAACATACCAGAATAATAAGTGATTGTAATGGGGACATAGGATTAAAAGTAGTTTTAGTTTTCTCTGAAATCCAGATTTTTCTCTAAGTGTGGCATCATGCATTCATAATTTCAAAAAATAATACAATGTATAAATAGGAAGTAAACAAGTCATTGGCATGGATCTGCCTCTGGGGAAGCAAAAGAGCAGGACAGGCCAAGCATGACATTTATGCCAACCCAGGATGGCTTTACCTGCACAAAAAGTGTAGCTGAGTATCTGATCATTCTCTGCAGCCGCAAATTGCTTGGATGTGGTGGAGGGTCCTGGTTCAAGCCCAAGGTTAAGATCTTCTTACTGAATTGGAACAAACACATGAATATAATGAGCACTGCCAGCTTCAGAAACAAGGGTGAAAAGTATAACATCTGGAGTTGCCAGGCTTTCATGCCAGGAAGGTGTGTAAAGATGGGCAAGTGACTCCATCGAAGTTTCCTTGAAGGCAAAGCCCATTTCTTACCCTTTGGCTGTACACAGGCCTCAGCACAGGGCGCACAACACTGTCATGGAGGGACTGACTATACATGCAGAGCCAGCTTCACAGGTGAGCAACCTATGCAACTAGAAAGGACTGGCACTTAAAAGAGCCCTATGCTTAGTTTAATGCTCTGCTATTAGTGTCTTTATTCTTAATAATTTTTGAACAGGGGACATGCATTTTCATTTTGTACCAGGCCCTGCATCTACGTAGCCCATGCTGTATGTCTGGATGGATAAAAGCGCCTCATCTCATTCTCCCTCTGAGTCATTGTACTTCCCATAAATCAAAGGGCTAATTTAACCCCAATGGCCAGTCCACAGTTAAAAAGCAGTTGTGGATTTGAGCACAGACACAAAGAACGAACCCGAGTTTCTATCTCTGCTCCACAACTTTTGCTATCTGTGACATGATTCCTCACCTTTGACACAGGATGTTAATCCCTACCTCACAGGGTAACTTCAGAATAAATGAGCTATTCTAGAGAAAACAGCCAGTGACTAGCACATGATAGGTGTCAATAACTAGCTCCTCTTTCTCTAGCAATAACAAACATTAGAAATCCTTAATGAAACAAAAGTCACTGAGATGCATTAAGTGCCAGAGTTGGCCCCTTCCTTGCCCTCCTCCTCACCCACTGCCCCATCACCAGAAGTCTGAGTGAGTGCAGGTCTACTTTCGCCATTTCATTAGAACAGCATCTTCTCCATTCCACCAGCGGGCAGGATACCACTTAATGGACCGTACCTTAAAGCGTCTATCAGCTCATACACTTTCTGCACTTCCACTCGAAGGTCACTGGCATGTTCCAGACTGTAGGTTGTCTCCCCAGCACTAAGGAGAAACCACAGAGACATGTGACCTAAGTTTCATAGTGCAGACTGGACAGCATAGTGTAGAAGGACACTAAAGGTGTAAGGCCTCACAAAGGCAGGTAATTCTCTAAAGGTGGCATTTCAGACTTTTGGATATAATGCAGTGTCCATCTCTTGGAATGATGAATCAAGTGGATGTGACGTTTCGATTTGCAGACACAATAGGGACAGACTCAGGTTGACGCCTCCAAGGACTAGCCCTTATGGTCATCACCAAAACAAATACGGCTGAATTTACTCTGGCCTACTTTCTCTAAACAATTCCACTGCATCTAACAAGATGTAAGAAGTGGTTTACTAAATCAGTTGGTTACATTAAAAGCAGAAAACTACTTGGCTTTTCTTGTTCAAAAGTACCCAAGGAGGTTCGAGACCAGCCTGGCCAACACAATGAAACCCCGTCTCTACTAAAAATACAAAAATTAGCCAGGCATCATAGTGGGTGCCTATAATCCCAGCTACTCAGGAGGCTGAGGCAGGAGAATCGCTTGAACCAGGAGGAGGAGGTTGCAGTGAACCAAGGTCGCACACTGCATTCCAGCCTAGGCGACAGAACAAAACTTGGTCTCAAGAAAAAAAAAAAAATATATATATACACACACACACACACACACACACACACACACACATATACATGGTTTTGTTTTAAACAAGGCACATCTACAGCTACATGCATTGCTTTAAATGTGGCAGAGAGGCAACACAGGTTTAAGACAAAGTCAGAAAACTCTGAAATTAATAACCCTGGATACCATAATTAATTGTTTTCCTATAGGTTGGGAAAACACTGCTGGGATCTGACTCTAGTAGTTAGCACTTCAACTTCTAAGTCACAAACACTAAGCTTCAGAAAAAGCCATGCCCTTAAACAGGGATCAACAAATTTTTTTCCATAAGGAGTCAAATCATAAATGTTTTCAGCTTTGCAGGCCACACAGTCTCTGTTGTTGCTATTCAACTCTGTCGTGGTGGTGCAAAAGCAGCTACAAACAGTAATCAAACATGGGCATGGCTGTGTTCCAATAAAACTTTATGCAAACAGGTGGCAATAACTAGTATTGGTAAGGCTAAAAAGAAAGTGAAACCCTCATACACTGCTAGTGGGAATGCAAAATAGTGCAGTCATTCTAGAAAACGATTTAGCAACTCCTCTATGGAATGTTACTCTATGGTAATACATAGTTAGCATAAAACCCAGCAATTCCACTCCTAGGTACCTACCCGAGAGAAATGAAAACATGTCTACACAAAAACCATAAAAACTTGTACACAAATATTACAGGAGCATTATTTATAACAGCCAAAAGTGGAAAAATACCAAATGTTCAACAATTGATGGATCAACGAAATGTGACAAGTATCCACACAACGCATTCATACAGATGCAATGAAGTACTGATATATGCAACAACATGGATGAATCTTAAAAACATTACACTTTGTGAAAGAAGCCAGAGAAGAGAGATTTTATATTTATGATTCTATTTATATGAAATGTCAAAAACAAACAAATCCATAGAGACGGGAAATAGATTAGTGGTGTCCAGGGAAATGGGGAAAGGGCAGTGGCTGCTAATGTATGGGGTTTCCTATTGGGGTGATGAAAATGTTTAGAATGGAGACAGTGGTAATGTTCGCATAATTTTGTGAATACACTAAAAACCACCGAACTGTACACTTTATTTTATTTATTTTTTTTGAGACACAGTCTCGCTCTGTCGCCCAGGCTGGAGTGCAGTGGCCAGATCTTGGCTTACCGCAAGCTCCGCCTCCCGGGTTCACGCCCTTCTCCAGCCTCAGCCTCCTGAATAACTGGGACTACAGGCGCTGCCACCACGCCCGGCTATTTTGTATTTTTTAGTAGAGACGGGGTTTCACCGTGTTGGCCAGGATGGTCTTGATCTCCTGACCTTGTGATCCGCCCGTCTCGGCCTCCCAAAGTGCTGGGATTACAGGCTTGAGCCACCGCGCCCGGCCTGAACTGTACACTTTAAAAGGGTAAAGTTTATGGTGTATGAACTACATCTCGATTTTAAAAAAGAAGCAGATGTTGGCCGGGGGCGGTGGCTCACGCCTGTAATCCCAGCACTTTGGGAAGCTGAGGTGGGTGGATCATGAGGTCAAGAGATCAAGACCATCCTGGCCAACATGGTGAAACCCCGTCTCTACTAAAAATATAAAAAAATTAGCAGGGCATGTTGGCGTGCACCTGTAATCCCAGCTACTCGGGAGGCTGAGGCAGGGGCACTGCTTGAATCCAGGAGGTGGAGGTTGCAGTGAGCCGAGATTGTGCCACTGCACTCCAGCCTGGGCGACAGAGCAAGCCTCCATCCCTCCCCCTGCCAAAAAAAAAAATATATATATATATATTAGCTGGGCGTGGTGGTGTGTGCCTGTAGTCCCAGCTACTTGAGAGACTGAGGCAGGAGAATCACTTGAACCCGGGAGGTGGAGGTCGCAGTGAGCCGAGATCACGTCACTGCACTCCAGCTTGTCAACAGTGAGACTCTGTCTCAAAAACAAAAAGAAAGCAGATGTCAGGATACATTTGGCCCATGGGCTGCAGTCTGCCCGCCCCTGCTCTAATGGACATGCCTACTTTAAGCCCTGACACCTCAATGTAACAGTCAAGTGGCATCTACCCAGGCATGAGCATGAGACCCACTGCCCTTCCTCTGCTCTGTCCAGATGCTGCACTCAGCAGCAGTACCTATTGTCTGAGGCCCTTCCCAAACCTGCTCAGTCAGAATAGCCAAGGTCAACTGAATGTGGCTGTCTTTTTACAAGCTCATGTGACGGTAACATATACCCCACTAAAAGACAGACATGAAGGTGATTCTCTTCATAACAGCCAAAAGTGGAAAAAAACCAACTTTAGCTGGTCTCAAAAAAAAAAGCACAGTTGAAGTTAAGATTTTCATTTTTGGCTACTGGAGAACTCACCTAAGATGCCAGAAAACAGTCACCACTGGATTAGAAAAACATAGATGAATAGCTTACTTTAATGATGCTGCCATCCTGATGTATTCTGGAGCTTTCTGGTCAACTTTCTCCATGCAAAGTCGTAATTTCTAAGAACAAAAACAAAGCGGTAAGTGGTATGCTCAAGATACAGAAAAGCCTACCCAGAAGCTAGGCTCCATCAATGGAGATATATAAATGTTCACTTTTCCAACATATTAATTGTTGTTATCAATTTCCTGATTTACAGACCTACTTTCCAAGCAGAAAATTTTGTAGGAAGGAAAGAAAGTGAGAATGGAGCTTCTGACCAGATGTTTTTTTTTTTTTTTTGAGGAGTTTTGTTCTGTCACCCAAGCTGGAGTACAATGGCGTAATCTCCGCTCACTGCAACCTCTGCCTCCTGGACTCAAGCGATTCTCATGCCTCGGCCTCCTGAGTAGCTGGAATTACAGGTGCACCACCACCACGCCCGGCTAATTTTTATATTTTTAGTAGAGACAAGGTTTTGCCATGTTGGCCAGGCTGGTCTCGAACTCCTGGCCTCAAGTGATGTGCCCACCTTGGCCTCCCAAAGTGCTGGGATTATAAGAGTGAGCCACCACACCCAGCCAGATGTTTTTGAGAGGAGTAAGGCTTCCAGGGCACAAGCCGAGGTGTCTACCAAGACAAAAAGGAATTAGCTGCTACTTTCTTTCTCTGCCAAGTGATGCCAGGCAACAATAGGAAACCAGCACAAGGCATTGCCAGGGCTCACTTCAAAAGAGGAAGTGGCACAAGCACAGTGGGTATTGACAGAAATGAGATACCAGGTCATGAACTCCACACAAAGGATGGAGAATGGCTACATCTGCAACCCAACATGGGGCTTGCTTAACACCATTTCTAGTAGCCTGAGTATTTACATGGGGATTCCAGAAACACTGCCATTATGACCTGCAGAACTGCTAACAATGACTATTCAGTGGTCATCAGACAAAAATATATCTTCCTCTGTTCAGAATGTTGCACAAGCTGCTTCCTCTGCCTGGGCTGATCTCTTCCCTGCATCTCTTACTGCCTGCCCACCCAGTCCACCTGGCTAGTCCTCCTCAGCTCACAGGTCTCACCCGGCCATTAAGGGACCAAGCCAGTCTCACTCCCAGATAGTCTTTGCACACTATTTCCTCTCAGAGTATGCATCTAGTAGGGGGGCTATGGGATCACTCATAGTAATGACAGCTGAGGCATTTGGATAAACTTAGAAGGGGACACTCAGTAAACTGGTAAAGTCTGAAAACTTGTAGAACTTTCTAAAACTTGGAAAGTCTAACACTCCCAAGTGAGTTTCCCGGGATTCTTCTGGCCCACTGTTTATGAACATCTCTAGCTTCTGCTCTCCCCACCGAACCTGTCTACACCACGTGGCAACTGCCCTTCCTCCTCTTGCCTCTGGGCCACCAAAGCCTCCACCCTCCTGCTTTCAAGTAGCCAAGGAAGGCCACTTGAAACAAGTTTGCTGCAACACACCCAGGATGACTCTGACTCACACAGGGCCCTAGCTGGGAAATCATAACATGGGCCTTTAACAGGAACTACAAATAATTCAAACAAACAACTTCCCAAAGCATTCTCCAGAATCTGCAGGAGTGTACATAACAAACAGCCAAAATCTGCCTAAGAAATTAGACCCAAGACCAGACAGCGCGAATCACCTCGTAGAGCTTCACGATGTCGGGTGTGTGCTCCTTCTCATCAATCTGCTGCTCTCTCTTGAGCAGCGTGTCCTTGCAGTGTGTACAGCAGCGGATCCGGTCATCGTCCTTCTCATCCAGGACCGAGCTGACACTGCTCATGCTGCTGATGCTGCCTCGGCGGGAGCCATGGACACTGTTGGGTGACTGGCTGGGGCTGGTGTGGGTGCTCAGGGACTCCTTGCTGGCACTGGTGAGCTTGTCTGTAACCACAACACCAACAGGCAGCAATGACCCCCACAGCATCCAATTACCATACCCACGACCTCAAGGCGGCAGTCCACAGGTGTTTGATTTAGAGAGTAACAAGATCAGGCTCCAGCTGTGGGCAAGTACTGCCCCTCTGCCTTCCTGGTGTCAGACTATGGTGGGAAAGGACTCCACTGCTGCCCCTCCAAATCCAAACAGCCTTGCCTTTCCACCTGCCACTCTCTTCCATTTGCCTTGTGCCTCCAACACAACAAACATTCTCCCAGGAGACTTTCCTCCACAGCCTTCTCCCTATTCCCAAACATGTGGCTCCTATCCTCTCTGAATGGCAGGTCCTCCAGGAAAGCCTTTTCCAATTCCCTGAGGCAAAAACTATCTATCCTTCCCATCAGTTCCCACCACATTGCCCATTTTGGAGCACTTTCCACTCTTCTCCCTGTGTACAGTTACATGTACACCCCAGAGCTGCCTTAGGAACCTATGATTCTTTGTGGGTACAAACTGTGTCTTACTCACACTTGTACCCTTAACATATCCAGCAGGGCCACCCCACAGCAGCTGCCCAGTAAATGCTGGCTAAAGAGCTCAAGAGAAGAAGGATGAATAGTGTCCCAAAAAGGCTGCTTATAGTCTTATGTACATGAGACAGGGAGTTGGTCTCAGGGAGGAAGTATCAAGGTAAAGTGACCTGGTATATGTGAGAGTTGGACAGAAGCAGCATCTGTTTTTGTCCCCACATTATCCAAACACCCCATGGCCAACAGCATGCACAGTCAGCAGAACTCTCTAGTGTAAATTTATCCCAAACTTCCCAGAAGCCAATGAGATCATCTTCAGCAACTTCTACTCAGCTTGGTTGCAAAGTCCTGGAGGATCGGGTTCCACCTAAACTTTGTCCTCCACACACCCCCAACTATTCTATTTGCTCCTCTATTAACCTACCCTGGGCTTTCCAGAATTCCATGCCTTTGCTCCTGCTGTTCATTCTACCTAAAATGTCCTTTCTCCATCTCTTTTGCAATCCTACTCATCTTTTAAGGCTCTTTTCGAACATCACCTCCCAGCCCTAAGCATCCATGCTCTCACTGTCCCCTGAACCCACAGCACTCAGCATCTCTCATATTATATTAGTCTTTTCTATATGACAGTGAGTTGTGTGTGACTTATCCCACAGGAAGGGACTAGCCCACTGTTTATATTCAAGACCCTCTTCTCAAAATCACACTTGCCACTTCCAAGCAGAGCAGACAAAGAGTTGGTCAGCCTCTCCTGAGTGCCTGACACAATCTCTTTCATTGTACATCTCTCTTTAGAAAGCAATTATTTATTTGTGAGTTTATGTCCCCTGCTAGATGCTAGACTCCTTGGGAGAATGAACAATGCCTTATAGGCTTATAGGCCAGAAATGGGCAAAAGATGACCTGTGAGCCAAGTCCAGCCTGCAGGCTGTTTCTATATGGCTCTCAAACTAAGTATAATTTTCACATTGTTATTTTATTTATTTATTTATTTTGAGACGGGAGTCTCACTTGGTCACCCAGGATGGAGTGCAGTGGCTCAATCTCAGCTCACTGCAGCCTCCGCCTCCCAGGTTCAAGCAATTCTCCTGCTTCAGCCTCCTGAGTAGGTGGGACTACAGGCACATGCCACCATACCAGGCTAATTTTTGTATTTTTATAGAGACAGGATTTCAACATGTTGGCCAGGCTGGTCTCGAACTCCTGACCTCAAATGATTCACCTGCCTCGGCCTCCCAGAGTGCTGTGATTACAGGCGTGAGCCACTGTGCCCAGTCTAGTGGTCACATTTTTAAAAGGTTGTTTAAAGAAAGAAAAAATGTCACAGCAACCATATGTGGCCCACAAAACTTAAATTTATCTATATCTGATCCTTACAAAGTTTGCCAATCCCTGTTATAGACCACTGTATCCGCCCCTAGCATAGTACCTAGCCTGTAGTGGGTTTCACAGAATCAGCAACTTAATGAATGAAGATTCCCATGAGCCATTAATGAACAAAAAGGTTCCACGGTCCCAGTGGTGATTAGCAAATAAGCTAGACCCAAAAGAAGATGAGGGTCCAGGGCCCCACCTCCAAGTCACCTACTTGCCAAGGGAAGGCTGATGAGTTCCATACACTTCTTGCACATAATAGACCCACAGAGGCGGCAGTGGTGGCGGCGGTTCCGGATGCTGAACTTATTCCCACAGTCTGGACAGAAGGGGACATCCTGGTCGTTGACCCAAGGCACTACAGACTTTTCTATTGCTTTGGGAAGAGCAAACCAACAAGAAAGCAGGCCATTTTTAAAGAGAGCTTTGGTCAGGGAAAAAAGATAATAAGATGAATGTGAACAAAGTTTTAAAGTTACCTCGAATCTTTGCAGATTCAGTATTTGTTCTGTCAAACGCAGTGAGCTGACCGGGAGAAAATATTGCCAAATGAAATTAACCAGGTGATGTATACATGCTCCACATTTTCCAATACATCAAGCAGGAAATCAGCACATTTGGATTTCTCAAGTCTCATCTGTCATCCCCAACTCCACAAAATCACAAAAGCAATTTCACATGGGACAGGGTATTAGTTTTGCATCTAGAACCTACCTCCCTTCCTATGACCCACTTCTAATCTCTTTATTGTCAGTTACCCATTTTAGCAATAATCAGGGGTAGGCAAGGATGGGTAGGGGCAGTGACTGAAAGCAATGGAAAACTCTCCATTCTCCACAGTGCTCCTGGACCCTAAAACTGGCCACATATTTCTGCCTTACAAAGTACACATAAAGAACTGTACTTGTGGTTGCTACTAGGCCCAGCACACAATCCAGGTTACACACAACAAGCACATCCAGGATCAAAATACACCCGTGAGACCTGGTCACCACTTCTTTGTTTGCCATCACACACTACACCTCACTGGGTGATTGTGCCTGGGACACCCAAAAGAAGAATCTGAAGGAAGAAAGGTTTTCTGGCACCTGAGTGGGATTCATAGGTGGGAAAAGGGAAGCTAAGCATGTGGCAAATTTGTCAGCCTGGGCCATTCTCTTAAGGAACGCTGGCCCAGGCTAGAACTGTCCACCACACCCTCTGCACCTCTCTAGAGAAGGCGTTTCTCTGCCACCATGAGCTGTATATGATATACACAACACATGTGATAGAAATGTGATTATTTTTTCCCAGCAAATGTGTATTTGCAGAAAAAAATGTTTTAAGACAACAAAATTTACCTTCTCTAACCTGATTATTAATTTATTGACTTCCACAACATAGTGGTCAATTCTCGCAGCTCGGTGTTTTTTGAAGTCGGAAAGATGGCTTCTCACAGCACCTAGAGGGAAGGAAGGTAGGGAGACAAATGACTTATAGTTTCTCTGAGGGAGCCTCTCTACCTTGCCACTTATCCCAATGAATTTCAAAAGCAGGCTGGTCAACATAGCGAGACCCCGTCTCTCTCCAAAAAATAAAAAAATTAAAATAGCCAGGCATGGGCATGTACACCTATAATCCCAGCTCCTTGGGAGGCCAAGGCGGGAAGATGGCTTGAGCTCAGGAGCTGGAGGCTTCAGTGAGTTATGATCCCACCACTGTACTCCAGCTTGGGTGACAGAGTGAGACCAATCTCAGAAAGAAAAAAAAAAATTTCAAAAGCAAGTAAAAACTCTAGGATTTTAGAGTCATACCAAAAATTTAAAAACCAGGAAAGCAAATGGAAGAAAATCTGCTGAATTGTTAACCGTGACCTTCGGAAGCCACCAAGTACCATATGAGAGACCTGAGAGTACAGTAGATAAAGAGCATGGACTCTGGAGTTAGTCTGTGCTCAAGTTTCAATTCTGCCACATACTGTGTAACCCTGGACAAATTACTTAACATCTCTGTAACTTTAAGAGTACTCAATTATCAAATGGAATAATAACAGTATGTACTTCACAGAGTTGTTACGATGATTAAATAAGTTAAAATTTGTAAAGTCTTAACTGACTCTCATGCCAATGTTAAATAAACAGGGTGGTAACATTATGGGCGATTTAAAAATTTTTGAATTATCTTACTGTTTTATAATTTATAAATTTGATACAATATGGTTTTTCCTCAGGATAAAGACAATTCTCAAAATGGCCAAAAAAATGTAAATGCTAATAGATTCCCTTGTGGAAGCTAGTTAAGCTGATACCTTCCTCAGTCCAGCAGTCAAAACCCAGGACAAATGTCTGCAACACAAAAAGTTTACTGTCTGAGTAACCTGAAATATCCCCTGCTCAGTCTCACCTGTTCCAGAAACATATTGCCCTCAACCCTCCTGGCACTCAATGTATGTCTCCTTCCCAATGATCACCTATTCACTTATAGACTGTAGTGTAACAGAATTTGTCACATGCCATGCTTTTAAAAAAAAAAAATTAATTGCCAAATAAAAATTGCATATATTCACCATGTACAACATGTGTTGAAATATTTATACATTGGGAAATGGCTAAACTAGCTAATTACCATATGCATTACCTCATATACTTATCACTTTTTGTGGTGACAACACAAAGTCTACTCTCACTGACTTCCAAGAATACAAGATATTTTCATTAACTATAATCAGGCCAGGTGCAGTGGCTCATGTCTGTAATCCCAGCACTTTGGAAGGCCGAGGCAGGTGGATCATTTGAGGCCAGGAGTTCCAGACCAGTCTGACCAACATGGTGAAACCCTGTCTCTACCAAAAATACAAAAATTAGCTGGGCATGGTGGTGCACACCTGTAGTCCCAGCTACTCAGGTTGCTGAGGCACGAGAATTGAACCCAGAGGCAAAGGTTGCAGTGAGCCAAGATCACAGCAGCACACTCCAGCCTCAGTGACAGAGGAAAACTCCCTCTCAGAAAAACAAACAAAAAACTATAAATCACCACCTTGTACAACAGATCTCTCGACTTATTCCTCCTGACTGAAATTTTGTATCCTTCGATCAGCATCTCCACGTTATACTCTTTCTATTTACTTATTTTTGAGACAGAGTCTCACCCTGTCATCCTGGTTGGAGTGCAGTGGCAAAATCTCTTGGCTCACTGCAATCTCCACCTCCCAGGTTCAAGCGATTCTCATGCCTCAGCCTCCCAAGTAACTTGGATTACACACATGTGCCACCATGCCTGGCTAATTTTTGTATTTTTAGTAGAGACAGAGTTTCACCACATTGGCCAAACTGGTCTCAAACTCCTGGCCTCATGTGATCTATCTGCCTTGGCCTCCCAAAGTGCTGGGATTACAGGTGAGCCACTGCACCTGGCCACACATGCTATACTTTTAACCATCCACATGTCTTTTCTACCCTAATCATACTCTAACATCTAATTAAACTTTAGTTTAGATTTCTTAGGGGTGACCATAACTATTAACTGCTAAAATTTGCCATTCATTTAACATACAATTTGTAACTTCAGTTACTGCAACTGGCAACTTCATCAGAAAATCCCTAGTAATCTCACATTGGCAATCATGAAACAAGGTATCACAAACAAGCTGTCATAAATAAATATTAACTTAAAAAATTTGCCATTCACTTGACCTTCTACAATTTGTGACTGTCTTCAGTTGCTGAAACTGGCAACTTAATCAGAAAATCACCCCAGTAATCTCACATGGGCAATCATGAAACAAAGCTAATAAGAATTCATGTATCCAAAATTTCTCCTTTGTGTTTTGGATTGGCTTTCATATGTATCTCATAATTACATATGTATAGTATTATTCTTTTTTTTTTTTTGAGACAGAGTCTCACTCTGTCACCCAGGCTGGAGGGCAGTGGTGCAATCTTGGCCCACTGCAACCTCCGCCTCCCGGATTCAAGCAATTCTCCTGCCTCAGCCTCCTGAGTACCTGGGATTACAGGCATGTGCCACCATGCCTGGCTAAATTTTTTGTATTTTTAGTAGATACAGGGTGTCACCATATTGGCCAGGCTGGTCTTGAACTCCTGACCTTGTGATCCACCAGCCTCAACCTCCCAAAGTGCTGGGGAATTACAGGCGTGAGCCACCACGCCAGGCTGTATAGTATTATTTTTAAAGCAATTTTCTCCGTTCTCCAATACAGTAGCAAATAGCCACAAGTGGACATAGAACACTTAAAATGTAGTTAGTGTGTGGTACAGAAGTGACTTTTAATTTTATTTCATTTTAATCTATTTAAACTAAGTAGCCCATGACTGGTGGCTACTAAATGGACAGCACAGTTGTAGGACTTTCCTTATTCAAAGAGACATCTTCTATAACGGCACTAAAAAGATACAGTAGATAAGCCTGGGTGAATTTCGCTTTCCTTCTTAGAGCTCCAGTTTCCTCATCTATAAATGGGAAAAAGGATCATTACTTCATAAGGCTTTTCTGAAAGGTGAACAAGATCAAAAACATGAAAATTTAATAAATCACAAGGGAATAATTAATAAATAAAGGAATAATTACCCATTTCATGGACAGAAAATATTTTATTATATTAATGACTGTTATCATTAGATGGTTAAAGGATATGTAGGCAAGTATAGTAGCTCACGCCTGTAATCCCATCACTCTGGGAGGCTGAGATGGGTGGGTCACTTGAGCCCAGGAGTTCGAGACCAGCCTGGGCAAAAAAGGACCCTGTTTCTACAAAAAATACAAAAATTAGCGAGGTGTGATGGTGTGCACCAGTAGCCTCAGCTACTGAGGAGGATCACTTGAGCCTGGAATGCAGTGAGCCATGATGGAGCCCTGGACTCCAGCCTGGGCGACACAGTGAGTCTCTGTCTCAAAAAAAAAAACACAAAAAAACAAAAACACAGATATGTAAGATTAGATAGTTCAACTAAGTGTGTGTGGCATGATAAATAGGTTTATTGAGATATAATTCACATACATACACCATTTAAAGCAAATTCAGTGGTTTTTAGGATTTTAAGAGTTGTACAATCATCACAATAAATTTTAGAGAATTTTTATCATCCCAGAAACATGAAAGTAGGTAGATGGTACTATAATTATTCAAAAAAGTAAGCTGCATAACCCAGTGCCTGTCACTGGGCAGGTAATGTCCTATGTGAGAGGAAAGATTCGTTAATGGACTCTGTGCCTGGGCTGACGTCCGAGAGATATGGATTCATACCCCACTTCTGCAGTTTACTCACTGTTTGTCCCTGGGCAGGTTCTCATGAGGTGCAGTGAAGATCTAATGAGACCACGGGTATAAAGCATTTAATGTAATGCCTAACACAAAGTGGATGCTCAGCTGGTTCTCTTCCATTTTCTCCCCCCAACAAAGGCATAAGGTCCATTAGAAGCTTAGACCATTATGGTTTACTGATGCCTCCTCAACTTTTAAAACTTTACCTAGAACATAGCAGATGCTCAATAACCACTTGCTGAATGAATAAATGAATTTTCTTACCAAGCTCCTGGGGTTCCCACATGTAAGGATCAACCCCTCCATAGCTGAAAGACTCATATCCTTGGGTCCCTGATTCTGCTCGATCATCCCCTTCTCGTTTCAACAACCTGTCCTTTGCTTTCTTAGCCTTCTGGACAAGACCTTGAAAAATGGAACAAATAATACAAATGAACCATGAAGAACGCCCAGTAAAGAGTCAAAAGAAATCTCAAAAAACAAGAGTTAACAAAATAATTATCATTTGTTTAAAAATGCACCAGAAATATTCAGATCCCAAGTAAAATGCAGGAACAAGCACACAAACACTATACTACAAATACCACAGAGCAAGACACTGGTTAGTCAGTATTAGCATTAAATTGGTTTAGGTGGCCGAAATATGGGCTAAATTACTGCTCATTGCCAAACTTAAGAGCACAATTAAATAAAAGTGCTAAAATCAAATTTGATGAGGAAAACAGGGTGATGGAAGTGTTTTCTTCTTTATCTTAATTGGAGTGGTGGTTAAGTGGGTATATACATTTTTTAAAACTTTTTGAATTGGGCCAGGCACAGTGGCTCACACCTGTAATCCCACAAGGGAGGCAATTACTTGAGTCCAGGAATTCAAGCCAGCTTGGGCAACATGACAAAACCCCATCTCTACTAAAAATACAAAAAACTAGCTGGCTGTGGTGGCATGCACCTGTAGTCCCAGCTACTTGGGAGGCTGAGGTGGGAGAATCACCTGAGCCCAGGAGGTTGAGGCTGCAGTGAGCTGAGATTGTGCCACTGCACTCCAGCCTGGGCAACCAGAATGAGATCCTGTCTCAAAAAAATAAAATAAAATAAAATAAAATAAAAGTGTACACTTAAAAACTATACCTCAATTAAAATAAAGTTTTTTAAAAACCAAGTTCTATAGTACTAATTAATTTACCCCAGAAACTCATGAGTAAATTCTTCTCATTTACCTCCAGGATGGGATTCAGCTAAACCTCCATCCCTGGACTGGTGTTCCCCATAGGCTTAACTGGACACAGAGTTCTTCCTTCCCCACTACTGCCCACGCACTTATTGAATGCATGTGAGAATATTTGCAAAAAGCTTCAAGAAACAGATATAACATCTACAACATAACACAAACAGAACCAGATTTGGTAAGAAGAGAAAATGAACATTTCCTATATTTAGACCTTGTATGTACCAGGCATAATGCAAAGTGCTTGCAAATACATCATGCCAGTTCATGCTCACAATGTTATAAGGCAGGTGACAGCCCTACTTACAAATGATGAAACGACATCAAAGACGGGGAAGAACTTGCTTCACCCAAGATCACAGAGCTTACAGGTAACAGCAGGGCTGGAAGTAGACACCTCATGTGTCTGAAATGAGAGCTCCAGCTCTCCCCAGCTAGTGCTGATTCACAAACTATGCCTCTGCAGAACATGGGTTCTGCCACCTGTGCTGGTGAAGAGAACCACCTGTTAAACTGAACAATCGGCTGGCGGGGGCAAAAAAAGAATTCTCAGTTCTAAGTCGCTCTCGCTCTCTCATGAATGTTCTTTAATCTTGGATGAATGCTACCCCTTTCTTCTACCAGAATCTAGTAGAAAATACCAGACTGAATATAAAATGATATCATTATTTTTACCTTTTATTTATTTATTTTTTAGAGACAGGGTCTCGCTCTGTCACCCAGGCTGGAGTACAGTGGCACAACCATAGCTCACTGCAGCCTTGATCTCCTGGGCTCAAGCAATCCTCTTGCCTCAGTCTCCCAAGTAGCTGGGGATTACAGGTGTGCACCACCATAACTAGGTAATTAAAAAAAAATTTTTTTTTTTGTAGAGATATTGCCTAGGCTCGCAGGCAGAGGGTGAGATTGATAAGAATACACTTGTCTTCTTTTAATACAGTCAAGCCAATAAGCAAACTTCCTGATTATTGGTCACTGTAGGACAGCTTTGTCCAAACTGGAAAAATACCAAAACAAAAGGACATCCTTTAAAATGCACTAAAGTAGTCTTTTTTTTTTTAAGACAGAGTTGCACTCTTGTCACCCAAGCTGGAATGCAATGGCAGCTATCTCAGCTCACTGCAACCTCTGACTCCCAGGGGTTCAAGGGATGCTCCTGCCTCAGTCTCCCAAGCAGCTGGGATTACAGGCATGTGCCAACACACCCAGCTAATTTTTGTATTTTTTTTAGTAGAGACGGGGTTTCACCACGTTGGCCAGGCTGGTCTCAAACTCCTGGCCTCAGGTGATCCACCCACCTCAGCCTCCCAAAGTGCTGGGATTAAAGGCATGAGCCACTGTCCCTGGTCTAAAGTAGTCTTTTCTAGTAACAGGGGAGAGGAAACTGCCTGATGTGAACAAAGGGTCTAGCAAACAGGAATGTGAGTTAGCAAATAACAATTCATTTTTGCAAACAAGACTAGAGTATCAGGTTAAACAGGCAATCTATACCATTAACCACATTAGGAGACAGCAAAACTACCTGGCAATCTTCCCAGAATGGACATAGCCCTTCCACGGGAGGTCAATTAAGAATAATCCCATATATTTTTAAAAACAATAACAAAGCAAGAAGCTACAGTCAATTTTCAGCTATCTTTTCTTCTACTTACTGAAAATGGGCTAAACTGGAGCTGAACCAGGACTGGGTCTCGAATCCACAAACTTTTTACTAATGACTAGTCTATCTTTTCTTTTTTGAACTGCCCCCAAAAACTAGTACTAAGGTTCACTCTTTTGGCTTTAATTTTTCACTTGCCTAAAACTAACCATGTCATAACATTTCTAAGAATCAAAAGACCAAATGGAGAGGTAATCTGCTTTCTAATGGGCTTTTCAAAAAAACCTTTCACGTCAATCCTTAAAACTTTACTTTCCTGATTCTGAAATGCAGAAAACTGCAACATAATCAAGAATTCCTTTCTAACTAAAGATATGATCATTAGTAGTACTAGAGGTAGAGATGTGGGGGGTAGGGCCGGGTGGGAGATAAAGGGAAAAACCAAGAGGATCTTTTCTTTCTTTTTTTTGAGACAGTTTCACTCTGTTGCTCAGGCTAGAATGTGACAGCCTTGATCTCGCAAGCTGAAGCGATCCTCCCACCTCAGCCTCCTGGGTAATTGGGACTACCAGTGTGTGCTACTATGACTGGCTAATTTTTTAAAATAATTTTTTTGTAGAGGTGGTCTCGCTATGTTGCCCAGTCTGGTCTCCTGGGCTCAAGCAATCCTCCTGCCTTGGCCTCCCAAAGTACTAGAATTACAGGCGTGAGCCACTGCACCTGGCTGAAGTAACTGTATTTTGTTTTTTGTTTTTGAGTCAGTTTCACTCTGCTGCCCAGGCTGGAGTGCAGTGGCATAATCATGGCTCACTGCAGCTTCAACCTTCTGGGCTCAAGGGATCCTTCTGCTTCAGCCTCCCAAGTGGCTAGGACTACAAGTGCATGTCATCATACCCAGCTAACTAAAAAAAAATTTTTTTTTCTTTTTTTTTTTTGGTGCAGACAGGATCTATGTTGCCCAGGCTGTTCTCAAACTCCTAAGCTGAAGGGATCCTCCCGCCATGGCCTCCCAAAGTGCTGGGATTACAGGTGTGAGTCACTATGCCCAGCCAAGGATCCTTTCAAATTTCTTTCACAAGGCACAAAATTTCCATTCTATTTAGTATTCCTTAAATAGATTCCCGTATCTGTATTCTCTAAATAACCTTAAACACTCTTCCTCTTAAAAAAGGGTCAGTGAAGGAATCGGGGAACATTCTCTAACCTCTCTACCCACTGGCATCACCAGTTTTAGCAATGGCATTGTATATGACTTAGTTCAGCTGACACCAAGACTGGAAGCTAGTTGAAAATGATGGAGGCTCTTCCTTTGGTTGTCCAAAGGAAACTTACATAATCAGGTTTTTCAGTTTTGTTTTTGCTTCATTTCCTCCAGGAAGCTGCAATGCACGCTGTGATTGAAACACGGGGCCTCTCACCCTGTGATGTCACATGCAAACGGCAGCACTGGACATAGAGATGACAGAAGACCTACATTCCAGGCCTAGCTCTGCAATTCCTGTGTGACCATGGATAAGTAACTCAACATCTCTTGAGCCTCACTTCACTTACTATCTATAAAATGAGACCAATCACCTTCTTGCAGAGTTGTTAGGAGAGTCAGATGAAATAATAATGTCTGTGAAAGAAACTCTAAAAACTATAAAGCACAGCATTTTTTTCCCCTCCTAATAGTTTTGGCTCTGCTCTACAGCCTCTACAGCCAGAAGCCACCTCATCCACCATAGCCCTCAGGATTTCAGAAATGTTTGCCTTTGTTGTTTTTGGATAGAAGTTGCAACTGTTTATGCTTTTAGAAACTCTTTTTTACTGAACAGAAAAGTGAGATAGAGTGGGACTCTAGGGACAAATATGTGATTACAAAGTGCATATGAGTCACCTGTCAGAATGCCAAAGCACACTTAGAAATAACATGGTCATTCCTTTCTTTCCCTCCCAATAAAGACTGTGAACACAGCATCCAGAACTTTTTAATCTCATGGCCTTCAGAAATGCTGCCAGCTGTGAGTAGCAAGTTAGCTGAAAACTACAAAAATAAGTTCCAGAGGAGCAGCATCTTTGTTGTGTGTGTGTGTGTGTGTGTGTGTGAGAGAGAGAAAGGGTCTCTATGTTGCCCAGGCAACAGTGGCACGATCATCACTCACTACAGCCTTGACCTCCCTGGGCTCAAGCGATCCTCCTACCTCAGTCTCCTGAGTAGCTGGGGCAACAGGCGTGCACCATCACATCTGGCTAGTTTTTTTAAAATTTTTTTGTGAGGTGGGTTTCGCGATGTTGCCCAGGCTGGTCTTGAACTCCTGAGCTCAAGTGATCCACCCACACTGGCCTCCCAAAGTGCTGGGAATAGAAGTATAAGCCACTGTGCCCGCCCAGAGGAGAAGCATCTTATCTGGAGGTTAGAATTTGATGTCCAGGAAATACAATAAACACATGTATAGTCAAAAAGACCTTTGAAAAATTATTTCCACAACTCTCTCAGATCTGAGCTCTTGGAAGCTCAAAAACCAAGGTTTTCAGATTGTTTTTCAACTACGACCTTCCTTTTTCTGGGCTACAGAGGGCAAGATACCAGTTGGGGAAGGAAGGATGGTGGGTAGGCTTAAATTTGTGACAGGTAAAATGGGTGCATAATGTGCCTCCATCATCATAGCAAAGGAAGAAATTCCTCTCCAAATTCTATTAGGCTAGTAGTTAGAGAATAGTCAAGCCGGATCACAGCAATTACATTTACTAGATTCAAAGTCAAACTGTGTTTCACTGAGTGGCTTTAGATAAGTTATCTAATCTCTTTGTGTCTGGTGCAAAATGTGGCTCACAGCCACACAATTATTGTGAGGATTAAATGAAATAAATAAACAGGGAGACTCTGAAAATGCCTGGCACATGACAAACACTAGTCATTTGTTTGCTACTACTATTATCATATTCCCGTGGCAACACTGAAGCTGATGAGAACTATCCCGTGAGTTAAAGCTCTCAATGAGAGCAGGGTATAGGCAAGGTCCTATATAGTATATATATGACCCAGCAAGGTCCTTGCCTCTTACTTTTAATTTGCCCTTTGACATCACGGTCTTCGCCCGAGTGTTCTTCCTCATAATGTGAGTGAAGCTGATAGAAAGACTGCAGATCCTTCAGGCACAGAGGGCAGAGGAAGCCCTCCCTCACTTCCCCTGGGTCATCCAGAGAAGCCATGGCGGTGCCGCTCTCAACCCTAGGAAGGCAGGGATCTCATGCCAAGAGTCAGCTTGATTCCTCCCAAGGAACCATAGTTCCCACAGCATTAGCTTAAGCAGCACACAGATGGTGAGGAAGTAGCTTCATGGCCCTGGATGAGGTTTCCTCTCTGGAGTAGGAGGAGCCTAAGAAAGAAAAGAAGAAGGGAAAAAAGCCAATCCAGGCAAACTGGTAGCAATTGAGTATTTTCTTCATTCTTTTCACAGTTCAACAGGGTACTTAATGTTTGTTCAGTGCAAGTTTGAGAAAACAAACTCTTTCTCAAATCCTTAGACCAAGCAAGCTGCAAAACCTAACACGTGAAAACATCACTGGACAACAACAACTCAATTAAGTGGGAAACATAGATTCTTGAAATAAGCAAATAATACCTTGGCAATTCTCTTACATTCATTCCAAATGACCCAACTTCGTAATTCATATGCCACTTTAGCCACTGGGGGAATGTCTGAAGTACTCATCAACAAGCAGAAGTTTTTACTTGACGCTGTTTACCTTGATTGTTTATTCAACCACATATATTAAGTTCTTGATACTTGTGAGACACCTGTGTTAGAAATGCAAAGATGAAGACATAGTATCTCCCATAAAAACATTTAAAAAAACCAAAATTCCTAACATCAGTTAAAGAGAAACATTAGAAACCTACTAGTCAAAAAGAAAAAATTTATTTTATATTTGTGGAGCACTTATCTCTAATGGGCTTACTAGATTTTTTTTTTTTTTAAGAGACAGGATCTTGCTGTGTCACCTAGTGAGCTATAATTGCTCACAACAGCCTCGACTTTCGGATTCAAGTGATCCTCCTGCCTCAGCCTCCCAAGAAGCTGAGACTACAGGAGTGTGCCATGACACCCAGCTAGTTTTTAAATTATTTATAGAAACAGGTTCTTTCTGTGTTTCCCAGGCAGGTCTCTAACTCCTGGCCTCAAGCAATCCTCCTGCCTGAGCCTCCCAAACTGCTGAGATTACAGGTGTGAGCCACTGCACCCTGATAGATCTTATAAGCCAGTAAGTGACAGTTAAGTAGCAAACCTGATGTTCTCACTGCTTCAAAAATAAAAGGCTGGCCAGGCATGGTGGCTCATGCCTGTAATCCCAGCACTTTGGGAGGCCAAGGCAGGCGGATCACCTGAGGTCAGGGGTTCAAGACCAGCCTGGCCAACATGGTGAAATCCCATCTCTACTAAAAATGCAAAAATTAGCCAGTAGGCACCTGCAATCCTAGCTAGTGGGGGGACTGAGGCAGGAGAATTGCTTGAACCCAGGAGGCAGAAGTTGCAGTGAGCTGACAGCATGCCATTGCACTCCAGCCTGGGCAACAAGAGCGAAACTCTGTCTCAAAAAAGTAAGTAAGTAAATAAATAAATAAAAGGCTTTGGTGTCTAAACATTTCAGGGCTTAATAAGTTACATTCTCTGTCTTACTGGCCCGTGGCAAAGTCACTTCCAATGTCACCTCATCAAGACTCTCAGTCACAAGAGAAACTGAGACAAAACCATTCCACAAAAGCAGAGAAATTTCTCCCCAAGAACCTGGGGCTACAAGCCACAGTATATAGTGAGGGGGTATGTGTGACCCTCAGCTTTGGATGGACTGTAGAAGACCACTGAGGAGGGGCTGCCTGGTCCTCAAAGCTGAAGGGTGGCAGCAACTCAGAAAATAAACAAATGAGACACCAGCACCCTATTTTCCCCCTCTAGTTAAGAAACCCAGTGACTTCATGCATTTTCCACTGAAATATAGTAGCCCTAGGTCTGGCCTCTTCCCTCCCCAGCCAGTGGTTCATCTGATGCTGTGACAGCGCCCTTTCTTCCCATGCACTCACCCCAAACGACCACAAATCAAACACAAAGCCCACCACATCCATGCCACAAAACCACCCTTCACGCCTCAGTCCAAACCCAAACCTCACTTCCTCAAAGAAATGCCTCTTACTCAGAGCATCAGAATGGACTTCTCCTTCACAGCACTCATCTCAATTTATAACCGCAGGTACATACGTGAAGTGACCAAGTAAGACTGAAAAATCTCGGAAGGCACAAACTCTATATGTTTTCCCCTTCGCCGTCTCCCCAGGGTTTAGCACAGTACCTGGCACACACAATGAAGAAGCACAATAAAGCTCCATGAAAGAACGAACAAATGAATGAACTCCAAAATCATATAACTAAGCATACACCATAAAGAAACCACTGAATCGGACCCCACAACCGTAACTGAACACATACGCAAGCCCCTCGCACTCTTAAATCACGTAAAAAGTAAAAAACAAAAACAAAAACAAAAAACCTACATGTTCTGCAACCGTACATCCAGCACGAATGTCACCCCGCCACATGCCGCATCGACATATCCCACAGCCGCACTAAACCCGCCCTCACGACCGCACACAACCACAACCCACGTAACTAATACGATTATACACATGTCGCATGACCACACACAACACGAACGACTCAACTCCGTGGAGCAGACATGACAAAGTCACACACCGCACAGACACCACACAAAACACTCCAAACATCTCTACACGAACTCAGAACACAAACGCTTCAGCTTTACACAACCAGAGAATCAAACACAACCGCTCGGGAGACAAGCACCCACCCACTCCCCCCACAGCTGCACAACCAAACCCAAGTGTATATGCCCCGCGTAACCGCACAGGGCCCAATCATCACAAGCACACACAAGCGAAACGCACGGCCTGAAAGCCGCATCTCCCACCTCTCACGTCACACCCACCACAACCACACACGGTCCACACCCACAGGGCCCGCCCATCTCCGTTCTGGAGGAGTCGTGTCCCCGTCCCTCAGACTAGGCCTGACCCTCTGTACCCGGCCGGGCTCCTGCGGACACGCAGGCCTGTCCCGTCCTCGGGCCCGGGCCTCCACCGTCCCTCACACAGCCGCGGCCGCCATCTCCATCGGTCGCTCGGAACTCGGCAGGTGCGCCTGCGGCGGCGACGAAACCGGAAGACAGGCTAGTAGACGCCTGTCGAGCGCCGAGTCTTCGAGGCAGCGAAAAGGGCGGATGCGGATTCGAATCGTGGAGGGCGGTCCGGCGGCTTCTGCGCAGGCGCTTTCCGAAAGAGGGCGGGAACGGGGGCGGGGAGAGGAGGTGGGACTTGGTAATTTTGTGCGGTTCTCATGTCTCGGATTCCAATCTAGCAGCGCGTCAAAGCCAGCCACTGGCTCTGCACCCCATTGTACAGCTGGGAAAGCTGAGGCCGGTAGATCTTTGGCTCTTGACCAATATGCACAAAGAATAAGGCAGCCAAGGAGTCAAAGTTCCTGAGAGCTGGAGACAGAAAAAATATTCAGGGGACGTGGAGGCGATGGAAAGTCCTAGAATAGAACTACATGAGAGTGGAGACTTGGTATGAGAAGGTGTATCCTGGGGGTGTACAGCATGGCCAAACCTGTGGAAAAGATGGCATTTTCAAAAGGCAGGACGATTGATCAGCCAGGACCTACTCCGTGCCTGCGCTGTGCTGGATACCATGGGGTATAGAGAGTCAAAACCTCATCCCAGTACCGGAGACCTATTTGCTTTGTGCCCTGCACACGTTCTGGATCTTAGCAATGGCCAGGCTCCAGGAGGAAGAGCTGCAGAGAACGATGGGACGATTGGACGATCCTGGGCCTCCGTTTACATCCCTGCAGTGTTACTGGCCCTCTTTTACAGAAGTAAAATGGGGGTAATAATGATAGTCTCCGCCTCACAGGGTTGTGAAGATTGAGGTAATTGCACGGTAGGGGGGGTGTCCTGCATACTGGCTTTGCCCGTCTCACTTTCCCTGCCTCCAAAGAGTCTTCCCCACCTGGTCTCTGGACACGAGCACTGCGCCTTCATCACCTTCCATTTAAGGGCATGGGGCTCCGGATTGGGAGAGCATTGAGTTTTTGGAAGGCAATCACCAGTGAAAGGGCAGGGAACTAGGGGTCTAGAGATCTAGGTTCTAGCCCTTACTTTGTGGCTTTGAACAGGTCCTTTCTCCTTTCTTGGCCTGAGTTCTCCCATCTGTACAGAAGAAATTGGCGCCAGTGACTTAGCCTTTTCTCTCAATCTGATGGTCAGTTTTTTTTTTTTAACGTTACAATGTCGAATAATGACTTCCGTTTGTTTACTGATACAGACAAGGAAGAGGTTTCCTAACCTGACAGAAGCGAAGCAACATGCCCAACTCCCCGTGTCCATCACTAGCTTCTGCCTTAGGTCCCCAAAAGGACTTTGGGAGTAAAACCACCCTCTTGAAAGTCTGAGGCCACAGAGGTCCCAGAACGAGCCACACTTACAGGCAGGACTACGTTTTGGGTCGGGCAATGAACGTTTATTAAACCATCACGATTTTTGCTTGTCATTTTATCATTTACAAAAAAAATCATATTTGGTTGGGCGCGGTGGCTCACACCTGTAATCCCAGCACTTTGGGAGGCCAAGGTGGGCAGATAACTTGAGGTCAGGAGTTCAAGACCAGCCTGGCCAACATGGTGAAACCCCATCTCTACCAAAAATATAAAACATTAGCCGGGTATGGTGTCGCATGCCTGTAATCCCAGCTACTCAGGAGGTTGAGGCAGGAGAATCGGGGGAGGCGGAGATTGCAGGGAGCTGAGATCATACCACTGCACTCCAACCTGGGGGACAAAGCGAAACTCCGCCTCAAAAAAAAAGAAAAAAGAAAGAAAGAAAAGAAAAGAAAAAAGCATCATATTCATCATTTCATTTGCTCAAAAAAGCAATAGCAATGTGGCCTCACCTTGTAAGTTAATTCTGGAAATCACAATGGATTGAGCACTGCTCTTGATATTGTTAATGATAATCACAAAGACTTTCCTATATGCTTCACACTTCATCAAAAGTACTTTCTTTAATCCTTTAGGCAACTGTATGACTATTTCCAGTTTGATAATAATAATGACTAATATTTACTGACGGATTTGTACACGCCAGACACTGTTCTACGTGCTTTCCATATCTTAACTCATTTCATTCTCACACAACTCAATGATGTACAAACTGTACAAAATGTAATATTATTCCCATTTTATAGAAGGGAAGCTGAGGCACAGAGAGGTTAGGTGACTTGCCCAAGGTCACCAGCTGGTGAGCCTTGAACCCAGAGTCACCTTGCCTTGAGGCTTTCACAATCCCCACTTTTCCTTCCTCTGTGACGTGCTGATAGACTTCCTGTACCTCCTCAGCCTCCTCCAGCCACCACTCCTGTACTGGGCATAGAGAGGGGATGTAAGCCAATTAGTTCAAAACAGAAGTATGCACGTGCACACAGATGCTATGGTGTCAGAGGAGAGACCAGCAGAGTCCCCTGCAGGAATTCAGGAAAGGGTTCCCATAAGCGGGCAGCACGTGAGCATGGTCCTCGGTCCCCGGGTAGAAATGATTAGGAAGGGCCTTCCAGGCCAGGGGAACCGCATATGCAAAGGCATAGTTATGGAGAAGAACATGAGTCCTTTGAGAAACTCAGAGAGAAGTTCATTCACACATAGAGGGATAATATCAAGCCACTCCTCCTTGTTCCCAAAACTGTAGGCAGCCACTTCTAGTGAGAGAATCTTGGACACCTGGGTCTCTTCACGCTTGCCCCCTGCCTTAAGGTTCTCTATTTCTTTCTGTCTCTCTATCCCTCTATCTCACTTCTCACTTTCTTTTGGCCCCTTATTTGTCTAAGTTTATCCCAAGCAGCACAAGCCATCTTGCCCACATTAAAATCCCTGGGCAAGAAAATGAATTATGATATGGGTAACATAAACATCATTGGGGAAGGTCTGGGCACATCGTGTAACTTCCCGAAGTGCCAACTGCCCTCCAAGCTGGCCTGGCCCCAGCTCCCAGGCCTCTGCCAGCTGCTGTGGTCTGAGCCAGCGGGTTGACAGGGTTGAGGTTGGCACACCCTGTCTGCTGGCACAGGGAAATGAGGGTGATGACGGACAGCCTGGCAGAGCCTTGCCTGGAGGATGGGGGGCAGGGTGTGCTGGGCTGGGCAGTGTCCGAGGGAAGCAGGTGGCAGTTGCTGTGGCTCTATCAGGAAGGAAGCAGGGAATGAGGAAAGAAGAAAGGGAAGAGAAAACGAGGGGAGAAAGGAAGAGGAAGAGGGAGGGAAAGAATGACAAGAAAAAAGCCAAGATGGAGCGAAAGTCGACCTGGGTTTGAATCCCAGCCCTGCCACCTAAGGCCACGTGAACCCTGGGCGGGTCACTTAAATTCTCTGAGCTTTGGTTTCCTCATCTGTAAAATGAGATAATTGTAGTACCCACCTCTTAGATTGGAAGGTTAAATAGCTTAATATTTGGAAAGTGTTAGGATAGCGCCTGGCACAGGGGAAGGACTATGTAAATGTTTGTTAAATAAAGAAAATGGAAGAGCGGTGTGATTCAGATGCCTTGGCTGTTGTGTCATGCTGAGTCAGACAATAGCACGAGGGTATGAGGATCCAACCTGGTGTCATAGAAATAGCTTTGAGAGTCATGGCCTTGCCAGATGGGATGTCTACAAAAAGAACTCAGAATAGAATCACATAGCAACTGGATTCATTAAATCCAATAGTGGGTGGGGGAACAGCCTCAACAAACCTGAAAATCAGGAAACATGGAATTGACTTGGGAGATGTGAGCTTCAAAGCCAACCAATTTGCAGGTAGTGGGCTGGCATCCTCTTTGACAAAGCAGGACCACTCCCAGCCCATCGGGGCCTATGGCAAATGGGAAAGAGGTGCCACTCCCTTCTCTCCAATGGACACAACCCTGTGCTGGCACTCGAGCCTTGCATTTGGCAAGTGGGGCACAGACTGGATTTCAGCATCCACTTACCCCCACCCCACCCCACTCCCAACTGTGCTGCACACAACCTGCACGGTGGCCCTACGTGCAGGGAGAAGGAGAATCAAGAGCACAGCATGGTCCTCAGGTCATGAGAAAAAGTCACGCTGGTTGTCTGCAGCTTCAGATCTCATTCCCTGACCTACATCTTCAGAGATATGCACTTTCAGCCAGTTGAGAAGTTAAGCTACATTTTAACCCAGATTTGAAACAATCTGTGTGTATGTGGTATTTTAAGTATTTGAGGGATTTAAGAGAGTTTGGCATGTTACAGCATCTAACACATTCGTCTCGTGACTCCACTTTAAAATCTATAACTCAGCAAATGACTTAGGCTTGTGATTTTAGGCTCATTCAACAAACTATGTATTAAGCACCTACCTACATGAGTGCCTGAGATAAACAAAACAGACATTGATCCTTGCCCTCAGGGAGTTGACATTCTCATGGAGAGACACAGATCCTAAACAACTGATATACTAAATAAGAATATTATATAGCACATTAGAAAGAGGTAAGTGCTGTAGAAAAAAACAGAGTAAAGAGAACAAGGAGTGCCAGGTTGCAGAACTTATAGTGTGGTCAGGGTAGGCCTCATTGAGAAGGCACCATTTGAGCAAAGACTTGAAGAAAGTGAGCCATGTGGATCCCTTGGAGAACAGCATTCCAGGCAGAGGGAACAGCCACTGCGAAGTCCTCATGTGGAAGTGCGCAGGGCAGGTTGAAGAAAAAGTAATGAGGGCAACACCCATGTTCATAGCAATCTTATTCACAATAGCCAAAAGATAGAGACACCTCAAATGTCCATCAATATGTCAACATAGAATAATCAAAAGAGTCAGCATGCAGTCTTTTTGTTGTTGTTTGTTTATTTGTTTGTTTGTTTTTAGAGACAGGATCTCACTCTGTCACTCAGGCTAGAGTGCAGTGGTGCAATCATCCCACCTTAGCCTCCTGAGTAGCTGGGACTACAGATATGCACCCCTACACCTAGCTAATGAAGAAAAAATTTAAGAGGTGGAGTCTTGCTATGTCACTAGCTCAGAATGTAGTTTAAAGAGAATTTATTCAAATGCAAAGGTTGAGGACTGCACCCTGGGACTGCACACTTCCAAGCTGTCTTGGAAAGTACTCTGGAGAACAAACA